CTTAAGGTGCTCATGTGCACACATTTTATGATTATATTTCTGAGCATCATCATCACCTGACATTGCTTCTCCTTCCTTTTTCTTAATAGGAATAACATGCAACCCACTTGAAAATGTTAGCACTTCTTTAATTATATACGTACAAATAGATGATACAATTTGATCGATACTCCCTCTTTCCCTATTTCTGTGCCCGTCCTTTATGAATAGGAACCAAGGAACGAGTATACTAGAGAATTGTTAAGGTGTTTATGTAATCCCAAACCTTGCGTATAAAAGTGGAAAGAAAAAAAAAAAAATCTACACTTCATAAAAGGTAAACAAAACTAGGATGGGTTCAAGCTCAACCCCAACCAACTTGGCTGCATCAACGTAGCCAAAACTAAATCGCCCGTTGGCCTAAATGACCCAGCCCTCCAACTCGATTTGGACCCAAATAGGGATCAAACCATGGGCCAATCACCTCTACTTGTACAAATAAAATAATCACAATACTCCACCTTGAAAAGTATGCAAGATAGTTACATTTAAACTCAAGTTTTGGTAAATAGAGGGATCGAATGCACTACCTCCAACTTGAAGGAGGGACCAAAGGACATGCCTCAATTCATGAGGTCAAAACGAGAAATTTGCCATTATCCAAATGCGTTACCTGCATACAAAAAAAAGGCAAAAGAATACATACAAACATAATTAGGCAACAATGAACTTAATTGCATACAAAAATGAGCAAATTTAAATCCTAAGTCATGCCTTTTTGTGTACAAGTATTAAGCAACGAACTCGCCGCCAAATTCCAAAATTGAGAGTCTATGGAATCGACATGAGAAATTTGAAAAGACGTTCAAATTATGAAAGCAATAAGAAGCTTTGAAAGTGACATCCACAAGTGCTGGAACATTTGTATGCTCCACCTCTGCCTTGTATCGCGAAAGCAATGCAAAAGACGTCAGTTGCGGAGCAGAAATCTGTATTGACCCATAGGTGCATTGACTAAATTCCAAGTGCTTCAGCTTAAGGGAGAAAACTACAAGTTTCTTAAAAGAATTAGAAAGTATACTATAAGTCTCGGAGTAAAAGCCGCAAGCCCGCATAGTTAGACTTTCAACATTGGGACAATTAGATAAAACGTTTTCGAACGCAGATCCTTCAAAAGTTATTGCCTCCAGATGTAGTGATTTCAAGTGAATAGATTTCAGTGTAGTACTAGTACCGTAATGACGATGATGAAAAGTAGGGCGATCGTATTCAATTTTCGTATCATCCCAAGCGCAACAGCCAAAAACAGTGGCTAAGTTCAACTCTCAGTTTCTCACATTTTTCTTCTCGGCGAATTTTACCCATTGATGAAGACTATTATCTTCTCAAGGTATTCAGATAAGTGGCGCGATGGGCAACTGTAACCTGACCAACCCATTTAGAAAATCTTTCTACTTCATCACTACTGACTATTTTGCGTTGTAAGAAGAATTCTTCGTCCTCGAAAATTAGATCAGTTATGTGAGTCCAAACATATCTCCACCTTGTTGAAAGAAGGCTAGTTCTTCCTGCTGTTTTCATATCGACAAAAGATAATAGGTAAACCAAGATATCATTAGGTAAGGCACTAATTCTATCCACTTTGTCACTCGTCTCGTCACCTTCATATTCATTTACATTGTTCTTCCTCTGCCAGCAATAGATAAAACCTTAGTTAATACAAGATAATTGGTTTACATCTCGATTCAAGGAGTACTAATAAGAGCTCAATCTCAAATTAGTTGACACGTTTATTTTATCACATTTGTCAATACATACATCTAATTGAAAATATCTATAATTATATTATTGTAAATGATACAAAAAATAATTAAGTACATATTGAAACAGATCTAATAAGATCCCAAAAAACCATATTTTTTCAAATTTATGTTAGTCAAAGTAAAATTTATGAATAGTGTTAAAAGTCAAGATGTATCAACTATAATATGAAACGGCGAAAGTATAAGACACTTGATTTACATTTCGATTGGAGGCATATTAATAAAAGCTCTCACATATATAGATTCATGTATGCTATACTAAAAATACTACTCCCTCCGTTCCCTAATACAAAGCCTCATTTTCTTTTTGGATATACCAAAATACAATGCCTCTTTTAAGTTGTATTTTTTGACATTATTACCCTCTTTTTTATGATTTGTCACCTTTTTTTTTTCCTTTACCTTTTTGTAATTTTAACATCAATTTTCAACTCTTTCTCTCTCTATCTCTTTAATTATTTCCAACTATTTTTTCTCTCTCTTTACCTCTCTTACCCCAAAATGCATATATGTACTTTTAATCATTAATGCGCAAAAACCAAAAGAGGCTTTTGTATTAGGGGATAGAGGGATAAGAGACATATTTAATAATAGCTAAAGTACATTATCACACTCAAATAACCTACACCTAAAGTTACATTTAAATTTATATCAATTCCTATCAATTTAAACCATGAATCACATAAAGCTAAATCCTTTCTCAAAAAAATAAAATCAACATAATCGCATAAGGCTCATACAATTTCGTAGTTCAATACCAACACTCAAGGGTTTTGCAACACATTAGCAACCAAATTTGATACAATTATGCTAAAAAAAAATCACATATTTTTAGGGATAAGAGGCATATTTAATTCAATTATTAAATTAGGCTCATTATTTTCTTTTTTTAGCAACATGATCGCTGGTTATGATCTTTCGTATAAACTTAGTAATTAGCATAGTTCAAATTTTTTGAATCCTAAACTTACTAGACTGACAATTCGATTGAATTAGATTAACTATAAGCCCAAGATTGTGAAATTGATATGACGATTAAAAATAGAAACAAGAAATTACCTCAGAAACTGCTTCAATGGAGAACGTTGAGTGCGCTTCGATGGAGAACTGAGAGATGGGGTCAGGTCAATCCAATAAATAATTAAAAATTCTTAGGAAAAATTGTCAAAAATAAAATGACCTTTGGGTTTTATTCCAAAAATAAAACAATCTTTTACTTATTTCTAAATAAAACGAATTATCAACCACATTGTGACACGTGTCACTATTAACCTATTAAACAGGTTACCAACCGATCATGTTCTATTTTGAGCAAATGTATGTCAAAGACCGTTTTATTTTTGAATAATCAAAAGATTGTTTTATTTTAGGAAGACCGCTTAAAGGTTATTTTATTTTTAACAATTTTTTCATTTTTTTTTCTAATACACAATATAAAATATTTTAAAGATATGCTAAAACATTCTAGTTCTTCACTTCTTTGTCAAAAAAATAAAGATAAAAATTTCTAGTTGAGTGTATATGGGAAAAAAAATATGATTGTTAAAATGAAAAGAATATATTATATGTTCTAAATTGTTTCCTTACAATTTTGCAAAAAAAAAAAAAAAAAAAAAAAAAAAAAAATATTCTAGTGATAATTTTAGATATTTTCTATAATATAAATGGCATGAATCTTTTTATTGTATGAAAAATATGGTGGTCAAATAGCAAGGCTATATTATGATAATATGGTAAATATTTTATCATAAAAATATATGGTATAATTTGAAGAAGATTTGACAAATAGAATAGTTCATCATAAAAATATATGGTATAATTTGAAGAAGATTTGACGAATAGAATATTTTACGCAAAAAATATATGGTATAATTTGAAGAAGATTTGACGAAGAGGAAAAAAAAGTGATTTTGGAGGGAAAAAATAGCACCAGGAAATGGACATATGTCATTCCTGATGTCTGTTTTAATATTATGTTATTGATTAACACTACATCTTAAAGTTATCTCATTCTTACATTAGTCGACCTTACTAAAATCAATTTCATCTTGTGATTGTCATGTGTCATCCTTTTCTTAGCACGAGTAGACGTCACATAAGTTATAACATGGCATGCATGATAATTTATATCTATACTATTACTAAAGCTTGAGGCATTGCCATTTCCAAATGACTAACTGTGAGTCACATATAATATGTCTCACAATGGTAAAAATGTCATTCACCTAATGATTTTGGAGTAGTATCATGCATTGGATGCTTAAATAATATCACTGGAGTTTCAATAATACATAAAACACTCAGTGGTACAATATATACTCTAAGTGGTATTTATCCTAATGATTTTTATTTTTAAATCTTTTGCTCACTTTTTGTTCTTTTCTGATCCTATCTCTGTCTTATATGTAGTTGAGTGTTATTATAATATTTGTTAGACATAGTAATGATGCCTAACGGTTAGGCATTAATACTTCCTCCTAAAACTCCTAGGCAAGAGATGTAATCGCGCCTTGTGTAATCATTTCCTTGATATGTAGTAATGATTAATGAATTTTTGTATCAAATAAGTCAATAATACTTGCAGTAAGATTTGAACCCCACTTTATGGCACTATCAATCTATCTAAGGACACCACCAGTCCACCAAGCCAATGTGATTAAACTTTCATGGTAAGGTGTTTTTTTTTTTTTTTTTTTTTTTTTTTTTTTTTTTTTTTTTTGGCAAGAAAATTAAGCCCATGACCTTTGATAGAAAACTTAATGAATATGTCTGTGCTTTTTTCTTGATTTTTTTTTTCATTTTTTTTACAAAGGCAGTAAGTTGCCATTGTGAGGTTGTAGGTTCTTTTTTCTTTATTTTTTTTGACAAAGAGGTTGTAGATGAACTTGATGTAGTTTGAGAATAATGATGTGGTAATCCAAAACTACAAAGGATGTAATTATCCGAATGTTCTTAATAGTTAATACAAACTATTTTGGTAGGTTTTTATTTTGGTAGGTTAGTAATTGACTAATTGCACAATTAATGATAGGTTAGTCATAAAATCATTAAATAATGGCACTTAGTGTAATAAAAAATAAATAAAAAATAAAATAAAAATAAAAAATAAAAAAACTAAGGCGCTTGATAAAAATATGCAATTTCACTTTATAAAAGCCAAGGTATTTTGTTTTTACCATGTAGAAAACCTAAAAACCATGCATAATTTCCCTGTATTTTATTTATCAAAATTAGCTCAACAATGTATTACATGCTGTCCGCACAAATTGTGGATATTTTGGGTTTGAATTTCATTAAATTCTGGCATTCACTGATTGACCTTACGACAATGTTTTCCATACACAGATTACAATGAATACATGCTCTAATCAATACCATAACCCCCCATCATACATACATCTAGCAGCATTAGAAAGGCCAAAATTTGTAGACAATCTTCCACTTTTCTCCTCTAGATAATTGATACTTATTTATACATAACATAACAAGCTCCCTTATCCCTAAAAAGTAGACTTCACTATGATTCTATCCTTTTTAATATGGAAATTTACTGCATCCTTCCAAATGACGATAGATGCAATACTTGTTTTGTGTACACAACATAGATGAATACAAACATCTTGTAACTTCAGCATTGAGTCTGTAAAAAGCCACGGGAATATGAAGGCTAGTGCAGTCATAGTAGAAGTATGACTTGCCATCTGCAGCAAATTTTGAGTTGATGCATGAGAAACTGTATTTCCATTTAAAGAAAGAAAAAACATGGAATTATTCGGTGCCCAAGTTGAAGCAGTATACAGATTTGTTGAGCATTAAAGATTATATGGCTCACATATCTGTATATCACTTATCCACTTCCTGAGGAATATTTGCTTTTCCCAAAAAAACTTGTTGCATCTCCTCTCTCCATATCTGCACAATGTCAATGTTCTCAGGTGCAACCATTGGCAATTATATATCAATGCTATATTTAGCCAAGAGTGATCTGTGCATTCAATAATCAACACACTTACCATGTGGCGGAACTCAACTCGTATATGAGGCACATTTGTCTTGTGGATATCATTTCCATCTGGACCTCGTTTGAAGTAGCGTTCACCAATCCAATGCCTCTGTGGGAAGCAATAACAGTAGCAAAGTTACAGCAACCAACTACTACAATACTAACACCACTTAATTGATAATTTGATATGATCAAGTGGAAGCATGAAGATTTTAAACACAATTTCAATTGTCCTTCCAGTATTAAGTAGACTAGGAACTCATTAGAATCTTCAAAACAGATGAAATATCTCAGACCTGACAAAATCAATACTCTTAACTACCATTAAGAGAGATAGAGATACCTTCAAAGCATGAGAGAATCCAGACTGGAGAACTGAATTGCGGGCAATCTCACATAAGTCACAAGAACTCAGTTTCCACACCTGTAGCAAGTAATAAACTTCAGATCACAACAGCATAATTCTACAGCAAGTACAAAAAACAAGGACACTCACCGAAGCAGCTATACTGTATTCTTCCACTAAAGGCTCCTTGGTTAAATGGATTTGTAATGGGTCATCCGTAGAAAGGGAAACATTAAGACCACGCAAGAAGAACATAGGGAAAGGGTTGCGATGATAGTCCAGAAATAAAGAATTGTTGCTAAGAGGAGACATTGCCAGGCCAATCTGCAGGAAAACAAACAGAGAATATTTCACTTGACTTAATTATAAAAAAAAAAAACTTCAGGCAAATGGTAACCATTGTCAATCGAGATACTGAAGTACCTGTGCTAAATAATAGAGATACTGAAGTACAGGAGATTTCCTCAAATTGATCCCGTGTGCAATATTATGAGCAGTGAGAAATGTTGCAGCCAGATGGTCAATGTCACCAGCCTGGAACAGTAAATATGAAAGAGTTAACCATATAGGAAAATTGATTGTATAGTGAAAAAATCATCATTGCTCCTAGAATAGACTACTTTTTTCCAACCATGAGGGCATAAATGATCAGATAAAAACAATCAATCAGAAGTCTATATATAGATTAATTTTAATTAAATGCATAAGATGCATTTGCTATAATATTTGGGACCCAGCTGGGAAGAGGGGATGTACAGCCTTAAAAAATAAAATAAAACTAGATATACCTCTCCAGCATGAGGACGGAATTTTATTGTCGTCATACCCTTCGACTCCCGCAGCTACAAGAAAAAAAACAAGGGTTACCATTACATACACCACAGACAAGAAGAGTGTATAACACAGAATGGAAAAAGTGATTTGTTCCAGAAACTAGATAACTCAATTGAAAACTAATTAAACCAGCAGAATCAGGAAAAAAGATGATCCATTAGGTGCAACTGATGACCTTCACAGTGCCGACTTTAAAGCTGCAGAGTACAGTTCAGCAGGTATGAAGATAAAAATGAATGGAACTGATGACTGACTGAAAAGTAATTTAATCTTGATCCCTCAACCATCATAAATTGTATATTCTTCAAGCTTTTCACATATATGATAAAATAACCATTTCAAAAAAAAAAAAACATATTCTTCATTCTCCCAAAAGACTTGTTGTCAAGCAGACCAAGTGATTGATGTGGTCAAACACATAGCTGGAGACCTTGGGGTGGGGTGGGGTGGGTGGGTCGATGGGAGACTGATGCAGATAATGCACTGAGTTAATTATAGTGAACAACGTTTCAGAGCTATACCTTGTTCAAAGTGTAGAGGTTAGCATAACAGTAATATGCATAGTAAGAAAACGCAGGATTGAAGATGTTGGTCCACTGATCTGGTGCAGGCATATGTTTTGTGGGACGTCGTTCAGGCTTGGTTTCGTCATCCACTAGATCTAGCCCAACCACCTGAATGAGAAAAAGACGATCAAAATCGACAACATAAGAAACATATTTAAGATAAGGTCACAGAGCAAGACAAAAATTTCAGGACTTGATCAATGTAGGATACAAACATGAAATATCTGGCCTGGCCCTTCCATGTGATTAGTAGCATTAATAAATAAGACTTACAACTATCCCATTCATTTCATAAGAATCAAGCACACACATCAAGGACTACTGTAACATTAATAACAATAGCACATTATACTGCAGTCGTACAATAATTGCAAAGTATTTAGGACTCGGGCCCCCAATCTGAACATTCCAATATAGAAAACACTACAATGAGATGGAACAGGATTTTAACACAATAATTTCAATTTTCAGTAAGTGAATGGGTAAATATACTCATCTGTTCCCATTATTTGGTTCGCTAGAACCTACAAGCTTACATCCCTTAATTGATATACTGAGACAACCAAAAAAATACTAGCACGGGCTCACTTCAGATGATTGTTCCAGGGTCAAATACTTATTATTATGGCATACACTTTGAGTGCACATAATTGGATGAATGGTCCTCATGTATAACAGCAGGGGTAACCCCCTATACCAAAGTTCAAAAGCTCTGTTGGTACAGTAATCAGAATCAGACTGTGAAAGACAAGAAACTGAAACTCGAGACACTGCATAGGTTAAAATACAAACAAAACTTTTCATCTCTTCTCAAAAGCACTATAATATCCAAGAAGCCCATAAAGTTTAAGGAGAAAAGGTGTTTCATACTATGTTTAGTTCACTTTATTTGGCACCTTATTACTTATTTCAGATTAGGTCAGAAAAAATAAGTTCTAAACATACCTTATCATTTTATTTGCAATCTTTTATTGCTAATTATCTTAAATTGCGTGATGAAAAAAATTATGAAAATTACACATTTAAAAAAATAGACATTCATACAAAATTACAGATCTAATAACATCTCACTTGATATATTTTTTCCCTTATAAATTAGCGTACATAAAAGGTCAAAGTTTAGTCAAATTAGGCAATTGTCAGATCAAAAATTATAAGTTCAGATCAGATAAGCAAAGATAGGTGAGTAAAGACAACCTAAATCATGTGGCGTAAGATTAAGCTTAAGCAAGTTTTGGATACAGAAAGACTGGTCCGGCAAAATAAAATCACAAAATGCAAAATGGAAATCAAGTGAGCAACAATGTGATTATCAGCCAATAACCAGAGGTATCAGCTGATGCATACCAATTTTCCAACACTAAGCCGACAACCAATAGAACTGATACAAGGTCATTACAAACTAAAAAGAGGTAGATAAGAAATACATGACCACAGTAAAAGATATGACCACAGTAGAATTCACCAAAGATACGAATGATGTCAGCGTGTCACAAACAATTATGAAAAATTCTCAAGGTGCTCTTAAGTTTTTTATTCTTCTCAATGGTAAACATCAAAAAATCAAATTATCTTTGGTAATCAACTATTTATGTTACTAATTCAGTGGTGACATTAATGAGATTAATCTACAATTATAAGCCTAACCATAGTTAACTAAAGGCAAAATGACTAATATATACTTGAAAATCAGATTTTCCTTTATTTTTTTTTTGACAATTAAAAAGAAAAAAAAAAATTTCACCCACCAGCCCACTCCAGTACTCCACCCTACCCAACGCCCAAACCCAATCCACCTGCCCCTCCGACATCCCTCCCCCGGTGCCAGTGCCAATTCCCTCCCCCTGTCGCGACGCCTCCCTTTCCTCCCTCTCGGATCCCCCACAAAACCCACGATATCCCTAACCGAAACCCTAAAAATGATTTTTTTCGCCGCCGAGACGATTGACGGCGTAAGTCTGAAGGCGTCGAAAATTGGTGGAAGGAGATTTGAGATTATGGGCAGATGGTGGTTTATGAGATGGTGTTGGTGTTAGTGGTGTTAGCGGCACCGCAGAAGAGAGAGGAAATGACTGCGGGGGTGGGAATTGGGTGGTTTAGGAGCGGCGGCGACAAGGGGGAGGGGGTTCAGCCTTGCCGGAGCCAGGGAAGGGATCTTGGTGGGCGCGACCAGCATCGGCTGGAAGCAGGGGAATTGGGTTGGACGGGCAGGGGTGGTGGGTTTTTGTTAAAAAAAGGGGTATTTTAGGCATTTCTCTTTTCCCTCCCTTTTAAAACATTAACCATGGTTAATATTTCTTTGAAATGCTTAACTAATGTTACCATTTAATTAGTTTTACAAATTATAGATACCAAAGATAATTTGATATTTTAGTGTTTACCATTGAAAAAAAAAAAAAAAAAAAAAAAAAAAAAACACTAATGAGTACCATTGAGAATTTCCCAACAATTAAAGTTATTGCAATTACAACACAGCCCTATGAAGTACCCAATGTGGAAGGTCTCCATAATAATTTTGTATTTTATTCCTTATTTTTTGGGGAAAAGGAGGGAAGAAAGAGAACATCCACAGATCCACCTCAGACCTTGGTACACCTAGAGCTAGATGCTCCCAAGGAATATTTCTCCTCAATTCACTATTTAATGCTCATTTACAGAATTTAAATGAACAAAATCGATCGAATGTACAAAAAAGCACCCTTGAGTACACCGAGAGCTAGGTGTACCTGGACCTGGGTACAACATAGACTCCGTAGACTTTAACTCCTCTTTCATCCTCCCTTTCATGATTGTTATGATCAAATTGACACTAAATTGTATAAAAAATAATTTCCAAATCTATTCAAGGAACTTTCAATGATATATTCTGTAGAACATATATAGTCTTTTAAGTTTCCTGATAACACAGGCAAAAGTAAAAGCAAAACAATTCAATATTCACTTATTACAGAGGTAGACCGATTCAATGATGATGATTGACATTACTTACCTGCTTCAAGAATAGGTGCAAATGAGGATGTGAATTTGGATCAACTGTAACCTCAAACAAAGGAAGGAAGATGTTGTCAAGCATGTTCTGAAATGATGTTACAATCCCCATATCCTTGTATACATTGTACAATCTTGGAATCTGCAAAGAAATGAACGATCCACATAGAAAATACTACCAAAGAATGAAGTTGATAACAAGACAAGCCAATAGACAAGAATCCTTTCACAGGAATTTAAAATTTGCATACCTGAATCAACCAAACAACATTCTCACTGTACAAATCATTATTAACAACCCAACTGGCCAATTGATCCCATTCACTTTGTTTTCTGCCATAAATAGATACTCTGTATTCAGCCATCTGTAGAAACAAATGCGATTTATCATGCATCATAAGAAAACACAAGAACACAAAAAAATATTAATTGACGATTTTATCTAAGTCAATAATAGTACCACGGTACCACCCAATTGGCCAATTCACATCATCAAGAAAATGGTTACGGTAATAGTTATGCACAAAGCATTGCTTATAAGTGGAGGCATATATAGCCTTCGTATTAAGGGTGCGTTCTATTCACCCGATTTCACTCATCTTAACATTTGAAATAATTTTAGTTGTAAATTGGACTTCGCTAGCCCTTACTTTCCTAAACTTCTTATATAAAGCAGTGTGAACATAATTTTCCCGAACTTATCTTATACAGAATATGAGCTTATGCGAATTTATCTTACAGGAGGACCTATTAGAAATTTCTATTTAGGGGTAAATAATTGTTTCAAGGCCCCAGTTTAGGCTTTCTATCTGCTAATAAACTTAACAGATAACAAGCATCATCACAAAATCCAGAGCTAGTCTACACTTGTAATGTTGCTAATCAAAGGCAGATTATACATGGTGTCACTATCCCAGGTTCCTAACTAAACAATTACAATAGCCTTTGAGACTGCAAGTTGGGCTCCTTTCAAGAGAAAACTTCATGTCAGGCACCAAGATATGGAAGGGTAAACAATAATAAATAAAAACAAACAAAAAAAAGCCAATCACAAGTTTACAGCATATTACTAGTTACTTGGAAAAACAAGGTGCAAGCATTTCATGACATTTAAAAGCAATCAAATCTCATTGCATTTTTCTAGACCACCTACATGAAACAGAATCAATAGAGTCAATTGGCTCTAATACAGCATAGTTTTTCAGCACATTAATGACGACATATGAAGCAGAATGAGAGGAATTACAGAAGCTTTGGCAGTTGCAAGTTATTTTTACATTAATTTTAAACACAGCCTGTTTGGGTAATAATTTACTACCAAAGCGAACTCCAAATCTGTGCATCTTTGGAAGAATTTTGACAACTTGAGGGTACAAAAAAGGATCCTACCATTTCTCTCCCTTCCATTCTACAATCTAACATCCAAAAAGAGGATAATTGATCCTAAACTCCACCTTCACCTACTCTCCAAAATCCCATATCCAAACACATTCCAAATCATGAACGCTCCCCCCTCCCCTCCCTACATAAAGAGATACCATGCAGTGTACAGTATAGAAGATGAAGATTAACTCCTCAATAACATACTCTAAATCTAAACAGTGCTGCAACTCCACCACAAGCCACTTCACAATATATAATATCAATCTTCTATAACCAGTTTGTTCATAAGCTTTCTAAAGTATAATGAAATAATTGCTTCCTACAGCCATACTTGGCTATACAGAGAAACAGACTTGCACAACACGACAATATTGAAGGAGAATTAGGACCTGGTATTTACTGGCAACAAGATCAGAGAAAACTTGCTTGGTCAGCTCCCCAAGAAAACGTCCTGTTTCAAGAAGATATTGACAACATAGATATGTAAGAGCGAGGATAGCCTTATTCTCACCCCTTCCCCCACCACACACACACAATTGAGAGAGGAGGTTAAAGAGGGTACAGTCAGTACAGATCATCACAAAAAACATTAAGATGAAAATGTGTGTGTGGGTTTATATAATGATTAACAATGGTCAATCTGCAAATTCTAGAAATTTATCACTTCATGCAACAAAATGAGAATTGTGGACCCTTACTCTTCTGAAGATGACAGTGATGCAAGAACAATGAAACCGCAGGAGGAATTTCTAAAGCAAAAATTGGTCCTTAGCTTCTTCGGTTGACATAGATTCTGTCATAGGTACGTTATCTACCTCAACAGATCCACCATTGACGTACACAAGGAAGAAAAGTAGAAGGGGGGACAAGAATCAACCACAGCAGTTGGCAGAGGACACTTCAGCACATGAAGTAGGGTCATTAAGGAAACACTAAGGGAGTCAAAACATGGGCCTGATTTGTGATGTGTTAAAGTGCAGAAGAAGACAAACATCAATTAATGTTAGGTTACCTTTTGTTGTATGGCTTGATTATATAAAGAGCAGTAGAATAGTTGTAAAGATTATGCGATGATTTGGGAGTGACATTTTGTATTGAGATTAGTAGCCTAAACGTTTATGTTTTTTATTCTAAACGTTATAACCACCTCTTTAAAACTTTCTTGAATTTTATTTTTGTTCTCTATTAAAACTCCTTTTATTTTTCTTGGATGCTCTTTTTTTCTCATTTTACTCAGCATTTTTTAAAACTCTTTCAACTGAATATCTTGTTATGTCCATTTATATATTGTACGGTTCCTTATGACGATTCATGTTAACTGACCCCAAATCATTTTGAAAATAAGGCTTTGTTGTTGTTGTTGTTGTAGCCTAAAGTTACACTTTTAAGAGTGATAACCTCAAGTTATCAACTTATTCCTGGAAACCTTCTGCTTCAACTAATCAATCATCAAGCTTTCAATCTATTTTCTGTTCAATTAATTACAGTTGCTTAGTACAAAACTCAGTCTATAACAGATTCACTCATTTTTCATATATTCACACATGCTAACAATCTAGCATATTGCTGATAATAAAATATACCAGTTGCTTAGTACAAAACTCAGCCTATAACAGATTCACTCATTTTTCATATATTCACACATGCTAGCAATCTAGCATATTGCTGATAATAAAATAAACCCCACAAATGACCACTGTACAGTCAAAAACATAAAGCACAAACACACAGAAATTCATACCCTTTGACTTGCTCAGAACTATAAATCTTAACCAACCTTGGATGAGATTATCCTGTTTGAGGAAAATCTCCCTTAGTCTACTTTGACCACAAGGATTGTACTTGAGATTAAACTTGTCAAAACGATGGAAGGTGCTCTTGTCAGCATGAACATCCAAAAGATCAACGTTCAGGTCATATCTGTGCATCCAAATGAATTAAACAGTACTGCTGAATGCTAGTAACTTTAATGTTTTAACATCAAGTAACAAAATATATAAAGCTTGACATAAAAGTCAATTTTAAAAGGTAGCATATAAAATCACTTCCTTACCCAGTCAAATCCAAGCTCTGAAAAACCTCTTTCAAAGTCAAATAGGTCCCATCACGAAATATAACAACCTAAAATAGGCACATAAGCAAAACAGTGAGAAAATGAATGAAGGCATGAATACATAAGATGGGTGAGCCGATATAAAAATTCAACAAGTACAATCCAGCTGAAAGACAATTTAATAGTAAAAAATTGATATTAATAAAGTTACACATATTGAAGCATTACCTCATCAGGCTCTTTCCTCAGCTTTGACTTTATAAACCTCAAAAGATGCTTCTGATTCATGCATGCAGAATGATGAACATGTGTATCAACTTTCCTAACATTATAGAAGTCACGATGTGGTGCACTCTTCTGGGCTAGAAACTCCCTATCCGCATTAAGCATCAAATGAAGATTGAATTTCTGGATGGAAGCCCAATATGAAACATATCAAATACCATAAATTTAAGGGACAATGTAAATCATATATTCATATATACATAGACAATGATAGAACAGCTACTTGTTCCAATAGATTCAGTCGATGGTGACACAAGGTTCGAATATTTCCAGCTGCTATAACTCGAAGAATGTGATGCAGATCAGTGAAAAATGTTGTTGCGTCAGCAACAGGGAACAGCTTCTCTTTGGCTATGCAGCAGAAAAATCAAATAGAAGAACTATGGTAAGAAAACATATATCTGCCAAACTTGATAAGACGTGGTTCCCTAAGAGCAAAAAAATACATTGTATGAAGCCAATAAAACGATACTTACAATCTTTACTTGCGTAAACTTGGACAACTCCATCCTCCATTTGGAAAAAGTGCTATAAGAACAAATGTTATATGTTAATGGAGCAACAACGAAGAAAGAGAAACTCTATAGAATTTTGGGATGTGAATGTGAATAAGAACTCACGTCACTTTTTCTCTCAGGAGAAAAATAAAAAGGATTTGGATTCGGCTTTGGTGTACTGGGATCAGTAATGATTTCCTTCTTCCATGGAGCAACTGTTTCTCTGAACACATAACTATCTCGTAGCTCAAGGCATTCTTGGAGAACCAAATAAGATTCTATTTCATCCGGTGTTGGTGTCTCTGACAGAAATAAGAGTAACAAAATTGAATTCAGGACTTGTGATAAAGTCAACACATGGGTACCAGAGCTTGAAGAACCTGGTTTGCAGCAAAAAATACGTCCCCAACAGCTAACCACAGCATAGGTAAATTGCTATATAAATCCTATTCCTTTTATAAATCATATTGCCTCTTCTGATATTCTATTGGAGATGGAGACTAACTGTGGGCAAAGAATTCTTTGAGATTAATGCTACATAGATAATGTTAAGGGCAAAAGGAACATAGATTTAAGCCTCAAATCCCAATTAGATTTGCCAGCCAAAGGAATATGGAGTTTTCCCAGGTGCTTATTCTGGTTTATGGATTCATAAATACAGAAGGCTTTGCAGAACATGCAGAGCCTGGCATTCATAATATTATGTTGTAATTGAACAATGGACTATTGGTGTGTCTCACACATAATCCAAGAGACTAGGATTTCTAGTAGCAGCAAATTTTGTACTTGCCTAGGGTAAACTGAAAATAATTGTGCGCTTGTAAATTTATCTCTAGTTCTACAGTAAAATATTAATTATCTTTGAGAATTATGCTTTGGTTTAGACTTAGTACTGATAAGGATAGCTGAATATACCAGGTCAGGCGATGTTCTCTTCATCTTACATACATCATGTTCAGTAACAATATTGAAGTTGAGCAAAAATAAGCTAGGTTTAGCCAAAAAAAGAAAAAAGCTAAGTTAAGCAAAAATCAGTAACATAAAGAATATACTTCCACTGTTTTCATTCATTTGCAACACAGACTTTGGACACGCTTTTTTAGGAGTTAATTAGAGTAGGTAAATAATCGTTTTATCAACATAATTTTAAAACCAAGATAAGAGATGGGTTAGGTATTACATGTATATATTATTTTGATTAATTTGTCTATTTACATTACTTATTCTATTCCTCAAAGCACGTGTCATAAAGATGTGTTGCAAATAAAAGAAAACAAAGGAAGTATATAATAGTGAAGAGGTAAAAAATAAGTTTAAATTAGTAAGGCCCTATTCCCGTCATCTTAAGAAAAAATTATTTAGTCGGTAAAAAATAATTAAAGTTAGTAAAAATATAAAGTTCGCTATAATTGAAGTTCAACAGCAAATATAAATTAATTTCAGTACATTAAAAATAATTTGAGTTTAGGAAAAATAATTTAAATTCAGTGAAAACAGGGCTAAATGAAGAGTTCCCTCCTCAACCTTTCCAACAAGCCAAAGTAATTCTAATGAATGGGAATAAAGAAGTTACAGCAACCCTCAATGCTTCTGTTATGTCCCCCAAACATGGAAATTTTTTAAAAGGAGCACAAGCACACAAAATAAAGTTCCAGTTAAGGTAAATGGGGAGTAGGAATGTACCGCTAGGTGATATTTTAAGCCGGACAAATGTTTCTTGCTCTGGTTCCTTCCTTAGAATGTCAGCGGCTATGGGATCAGGCTGAACACCATGCAAGTCACCAGATATGCTATGAGAGCGAATCATGTTTGGAGAAGTTAAAGGAACTTGATCTTCATTATTATTATTCCCTGGGTCTTGATATTGACTTTTCATTTCTGGGCCCTGCTCAAGATGTTTGAATTTAGATACAATAGCCACCTTTTCTTCATGATCTTTAGTCATTTTTTTTTTATCTATTTTCATATTTTGGAATTCATAAGGACCAGAGAATGAAAGGAAAAGAGAGAGCAGCCAAGTGAGAAAGCATAAGTAGAAGAAACCAAAAACAAGTCACTGCTCACTCCAGTTTCCATAGCGCATACAATTGCAACGTGATAAACCAAGAAGAAACAAATAGGGATGACATAACTAATACAGCAAATGGCATTAGCTTACCGCATTTCCATTAGTATGCAGATAGGTAGGATCCAATTTAGAACTATCTGTGAAGGTATCTTCATCATCAGATCCTTCTACACTTTCAAAGGCACTGGCAACAGGGGACTTTGGAGACGTAGGTCTCATCATGTAAGATCTACTAGCTGAACTCGTAAGACTGGTAGCTTTTCCTGTAAAAAAAATGGTCACATAAATAACCACACATATATATCTCCCTTATAATGTGTAGATCATAAATAACTATAAGGCCAAAAAATAAAGCACATATAACAAGAGAACAGAACTGGCACAAATAAGTTCTAGGCAGTATCCTAGGGAAGTGGGACTGAAAAATCTATTTAATTAATTTAATGTAGGATGAATGAGAGTCAAGCCAGCCCCGAATACTCTCCTCTCATTATGCCAAGTCAAGTACGAACATCCCCACTCAAAAGACAACCATTAGTCACACACCAATCAAGCAAGAAAAATGAAAAATAGTCTTAAATCAATAAAATAAAAAATAAAAAAAAAAAAAAAAAAGTTGTAACAATATATAAGAAGGAAAGCACAATAAATTTCAATCATCATGAAAACCAATTAAAATCATTGTAAAATAAACTTAACCAAAGCATCTCACTCAATATATATTCAAACATCAGTTATGTTTAATTAGAGTTCTTTAAAACCCCAACTCTCAACTCATGTCCAATCACACCAAAACATAACTTTCTAAATCTTATTACATATTACCTCCGTTTTTTATTAGTTGACACGTTTTGACTTTAGCACTATTCACACACTTCCCTTTGACCATGTTTTGTGATTTATATATGAAGAAAAATATAGTCAAGTGAGATCTTGTTAGATTCGTCACAATGTATATTTTCAAAATAACAACTTTTTATAATTTTTGCTTATCGGTAATTAAAGATATTAATGATTGAATTTGTGTAATGACAAACGTGTCAACTAAAAAGAAACGGAGGAAGTAATTATCTTTAAAGTATAAGAAAATCTTTACCTAACAAATACAAAGATTAAATAGGAAACTTAGGTAGTGTTCTCTTTACTTGAATGGTACCTATCTTATCTAGCCCTTATCTTAACTTCTCGGCCCTTATCTTATATTATCTAATCTAGTATTGTATTCCCATATTGGAACTTAGTAGACCTAATATAAGATGTTATTAGAACTTAATAGAACTTATATTATCTGAACTTATCAAACCTTATCTTATATGATCTGAACTTTTTGACCCTTAAAATATACTTCCTTTGTTTTCAAATACTTGCAACACTTTCCTAAAATGAAAATGTCATAATACTTGTAACAAACTATAATTGGAAAGTTTTTTTTGTTAAAAGGTGTACTATTGACCCTTATATAAAGCTCATGACCCACTTAATTATACTCCTCACAATTTCTCAACCCCATTTTAAGTGTGTTAAATCATGTGAGAATAACTTTTGTTAATCACCATGAAAAAGTGTGTTGCAAACAGAAAAAGCGCTATTTAAACTATTTACCTTTATTTTATCTTATGTGAACTTATAAGACCTAAAATAAGTGAAAATAAGGTAAACAAAATAGAGCCTTAAATGGCAATAAAGTGAAAAAGAAAAATAAATTCAAGCAAACAGATGGAAAGTAGAAACTACCTGTTACATCCCAAAATCATATCAATTCGATCTTAAACACATGGAAATGCAAATCACAATTAATAAAATAACACAAAAGATTAATACTCCTTAGTTACAAACCATTTGATGTAGCTATGAAAACCATGGAAAAGTGGAAATAAGGATTATTCATGTGTGTAAATTTACTTTAAAGATGAGTGAGGCAGAGAATAAGGGATTTATTAAATACAATTGAGTCCTGGAAAATGGAGGTAGTATTGTAGTAATATATATCTACTAAAAAAATGAATTGTGTATTTATAGTGCCAAAGTCCAACATAATTCAAGAAACATGGACACATGATACATTACAATGCATGAAACAAACAAAGGGCATAATCCTGCAGCACCATTTCAAATACAGCTTCCTAACAAGAATGACTCTAGACATTCCAACTCAATCCATAGTTCCTTACCCATCAATTCTTAAAAAAAAAAATAATAAATTAAAAAAAAAAAGGTCCTCATTTTCACTTTCTGAATATTATAAGCATCCTAACATCAATACGGAAGTACATAATAGAATCTAATAGGTGCTTGACAACCAAATGGCAGCTAAACCTTACACACTACACCACCAGCAAACATTAAAAATGCTATTATCTGCAAAAAAAAAAAAAAAAAAAAAAAAAAAAAAAAAAAAAATTATCCCATATTTGTTCAAGGTACCCTGAAAATACAGATTTGGAAAAATTAAAGCATGCAGAGGTTCCATGTGGAGTAATGTAGGCTTAAGTTATTTAAAAATTACCATGTTGCTAATCACTAAACAAAAGTGGATGCATCAACTCTCAACATAGTCAAAGCAAAGGTAAAACTTCTTTCTTCTAAATAAAAGGCCAAAGCATAACAGCTTAAACCCTTCAAGGCTTCAATAATCAATACATCAAGATGATTTGGACAACAGTAATCACAATTGCATCCTTTACAATAAAAAGATATCAATAATTTTTATTTTTTTTAAAAAAAAGTCCCAAAAAGAAGTCGTCCCAATTTCCTAAAACAACAATGACCTATAATTTTAACATTCACAAACTAGACATTGGAATGGGTCCAACTGAATCTAAACTCAGTCCATCTTTATTCAACCCTGCAGAAAACCCAAACTACCCCTCTTCCCTTCCCCTTCACTTTTCTCTCTTTCATTGATACCATTAATTCAATTCATTAGACAACTTCAACATCAAATTCAATCAACACCATTGATTACTGTCATACTTATCCAAAAGATTCACATCCTAAATTTTTTTCTCACTTTAGTTGCAAGGTTTTCTAAAGCAAAATAAGTACATGGCTTCATTCAATTTGCACGAAACAGCACTCACTCAAATTGCATGAAAACTATTCTTTATGCATTGCATGAAATTAATTTTTCAAAAATTGATCAAATTCATCATCCATTTCGCTTAAATACTAATTTTCCCTTCAAATTAATCTCATAAAACATGTGGAATAAGGAGAAATGAAAATAATTTAGACTTTTTTATACACAAAATTAAACAATTAGCAATCCCTATTTATATCCATTAAAATTAAATTTGCATGTAATCAAGCACATATAAAGCTATTTCCAGCAAAAATCCGTTAAATTCACACCATACTACTACAACATTACTGATAATTACCAAAATTTCAACCAAACAAAAGGAGAAGAGAGAGAAAATATACCTTCGGAGAGGCTACGAAGCCGAGGCAAACCAGCAGGAATACCTTCAACAGGAAGAACACTATTACGCTTATCGGAACCATCAATCTCACCGCCAGAAATTGCAGTAACATCCGGCAAAGACGCCGAAGCACGGCGATAAGCTCCGATTCTCCGACGACGACGGTAATGGCGAGGCGAAAGGTGGCGCCCAACCTCCTCTTCCTCCTCTGCTTCTTCTCCCTCCTTATCTCTCTCCATAGTCTTGGCAAACTCCAGCAACTGCGAAAGCGTCTTCCGGTGCATGTAGTACGCAGAAACCGCCACAAACGACGCTCCAACCAACGCCGCCATCGCCAAGTGAAGCGTATAATTATCCATTTCTAAAGTGATTACAGCTTTTTGATTGTGAATTTGGTGTAGAAAAAGCTTGGTGAAACCCTACTTAGTTCAACAATGGCGGCAGTGAGGGTTGGAGGAGAGAGAAAGTGCAGGAAATGTGTCGTTTACTGGTTAATCAGATGGAAATGACGCAGTATTTGGGGTATATATAGGAGTGGGTACAAAAGAGAGTGACAACTCTTTAATGCTGTTGCCTTTCTCTCTCTATCCACTTTCTCTCTCTAACCTCTTAAAGTATGTTTTTCGCATTTTTTTGTGTTTTAAAAGGGACAAATTTCTTTGTGTGTGTCACTTGTTTGTGTGTTTATCAAATGTGTAGGATATTATTAGGACTTGGGAAAGCATATATCAATAATTATATTCTATGTGTGATGGAATAAGTGACCCCATAATTCACGTGGGAAAAAATTGTATATGCAAAATGGGGCCATTACCTGTGCGTAGTAGGATTGTTTTCGATATTGAATGATCTAATTGTGATTCGGAATGAAATTGTTTCAATATAAACTCGCTTGATTTAAATTTAATGTGATCAAAGATCAAATATATAATTCAAATTGGTTTGAGCTCAAACTAATAAAAAACAATTAATTAACCGAATATCAATCTAACCAAATTGATCCAAATCGAACTGAATTCAAATGACATGTTGTCGTGTCTCTATTTTGGTCAAGCATGACTTGATGTCGTGTCTTTATTTTGTTCATGTAATATTCCATATGATGGTTAATAACAAATTTGGGAGATAATTATATGAGAGTAAATTTATCAAGCATTCTTACACTATGTATTTGAGGTTATGCGAGGGAATCTTGTTTAGATTGTGGTATATGATAGAGTATAGCAGGTGTTTGCAAAAGAATGTGGCAACATTGCACAAAGGAAATAAGTACACTTTAGAGATCATACGTAGTACAAAAACTTGAATTATTTGAAAGTGAAGGATAGTTAAAATATAAACCAAATCTATGGAGAAAGGCTTCTTGGTTCAGAATAAGTGCTCAAAATATCATTAGGGGAACAAGCAACTTATTCACATCATCAATGGCACTTGGTAACTGTAGATACCTGATTGTATCTCCCCAAAAACCAAACCCAGTGATGAGTACATTTCACGTCTTTGATTATCGAGTTAGGTAAAAAGTTCAAAAGTCTCGTGAAGTTTCCTTAAGCCTTGACCCTATTCCTAACCTTACCTAAAATGTTTTAAGTCAAAATCATTCATTTTGTGTCTCTAAAGTTATTCATTTCGTGTCTTTAAACCCAAAATCATTTATTTCGTGTCCTTAAAATCATTCATTTCGTGTCCAACTTATAAAAAGTTCAAACCAGATTATTTTGGTCCATAATCCTGGTCTAATTATTGTTTATTTGGATGGGGTTTGAAAAGAGTTTTCCAACGATATATTATAAGCCCACATCCGACTTAAAACGAATAAGTTATGGCCAAAATAATAAATCGAGCTTAGGTCCACCTTACCTGCGACCCAATGATCGTGTGAGGGTCCAATACCTTATTTCCAATCCTAAACCAATTAGGATTCATTAGGAGCTTCTAGAATCCTCTAGAAGGTTCTAATTTATCCTTTCTCCGAATTATAAAGATTAAAGAATTTGATATTGAATAAAACTCCTCTACTTTTAATCCTTGTTCTATTCGAATTTAAAGACGTTCTAATATGATATTCGTGCCTCATAATTTTTATCCAAATCTTGGATGGTTGGATAGCCATTGAAATTATCTTTCCAATGATATATCATAATCAAAATTCCGAGGTATAACGAAAATAGATATGAATGAAATACCAAACTTTATCCAAAACTGACACTATCCCACTATTTCGGCCATATCTTTTATTCTATAAAATATATACGAGGAAGGTCCTTTTAAGGAGTCGACCTTGTGAGGAAGGTCCTTTTATGAACAAAGTGGTGAGGAAGGTCCTTTTATGACGTTTGGGTTACGTGGAGGGTCCTTTGACCAAATTCCGGCGTTGACTTCCGTTTTCCGGCCTAAAAAAAGTCACGTGCACACACCTCCTAAATCTGATTTTTTTTTTCCCTTTTCCTTCCCTTTCCCTCTTCTTCAAACCAGTAAAATTTTGCAAATATCATTTTTTTTTTCAATCTCTACTTTCGTTTTCTTTTCGCATTCCTTATATTTTCGTGTGATTTCCTTGTTTGAATGCAAATGCTATGAACATTTCTTGTCCTTCTTGCACATTAATCGAATTTTTGGATGAATTTCACAAAGAAATCTAAAAAATCGATTTGGGGGCTTTCATTTGGTGAAGCTATTCTCAAAATTCTTTGCACCACTTGATTGTATATTGAATTGTGAACAATTTGGTGCGAATTTTATGCAATTTGGTTGAAAAAATAATAGGTTCCCATTTTTTAGCTTGCCCCCTACGGCCTCCCATGGAGTTCCCTCCATTGTTGTCTTCTTGAATCTTGGCATGTGTGTGACTAGTCTATGTTATGTAGTTATGAAGAATATAAAATTGTGTTAGTCAATTTGCATGATTTCTAAGCTTCCCAAGTGAGGGAAATTGAAAGGAAATAAGGGAGGGAAATTAAAAGGGAAAAGGGGAAATCATGGAAGAAGAGGGAAAGGGAAAAAAAGAAAAAAAAAACAGATTTAAGAGGTCACGTGCACAGCTAGGAAGCACAGAACGTCACTTGACAGGCGTGTCCGAGTCGACACGCGTGTCAGACACGAACACGCGTGGAACACGGGGCGATACGTGTCAGACACGCGAAAAAACCGTGTCTGGTTTTTTTTGTTTTTTTTTATACTAGGACATGTACCGTGTCTTGGGTGACACGGTCCGTTTTAATATGGACACGACAATTTAAGATAGTTGGTCTGCTGCTGCTTTCATTCTCTCACGGCTCACGTACTTTGAAACCCTAAGTCTTACCCACCCACCAGTCATCGACCGTTGGCGTCCTACCCACCCAGTCCATAGTCGACCAGCGGCGTCCTACCCACCCACGGAACAGTCGGAGTCGTTGTTCATCTGGATCTCTCACTCTACCTCACTGTCATTCGTCCGCTTCGTTTCTTGTTTTTCGCTTGTCGTCATGTCGTTACCCACCTCTGTCAGTCAGACTTCCACCAGAGACGAAGAGGAGATAGAGGATGGCAGAAAGTGAATGGGATATGAAATGGTGGTTTACTGAGGAAGAAAAGGAATGGAACATGAGAGAGGAGAGAGAGTGAAAAAATAGCAGTGTTGTCTATTTGTTTAACTGGTTTAATTTGTTTGATAGTTTACTTGTTTAACTGGTTTCTTGGCAATGCTCCTTGGTTTTCTCACCTTTCTTCAAATTTAGCTTCTCAAGGAAGCTCTATTTTATCATCCTTTGGAAGATTAAATGTATTATTTTTTGCACTATTTTTTTTTGGTAAAATATTGTTCTTTTACTTTTTTTTTTTTTTTGGTAAATTGTTCTTTTACTTTTGATTTACGTAGCATTAGTTTTTCTGAATTTTAAATTCTAATAGTGATTTTTCTTGTTTTTTTTTTGATATATTATATGTCTTATTATTTGCCGTACCCGTGTCCCCTATTTTAGGATTGTCGTTTTACCGTGTCCGTATCGTACCCGTGTCCGAGTCCGTTTTCGTGACTTTTTTTTGGCCGGAAAACGAAAGTTAACGCTGGAATTTGGTCAAAGGACCCTCCACGCAATCCAAACATCATAAAAGGACCTTCCTCACCACTTTGTTCATAAAAGGACCTTCCTCACAAGGTCGACTCCTTAAAAGGACCTTCCTCGCAATTTTTCCTAAAATATATCAATCTGATTTTAATTGTGTTGGAAAGTACACTTCCAGAGCTTTCCAACGATGTATTATTTATCTTATTCCGATTTCTAGATCAAAAGTTATGATAAAAGCAAAAACTGTTGTCCATCGCGCCGCGATGGAACCTGTTTTATTCCGATCCGGATTCTGACTTTTTTTTTATCCTTCGACCCTCTTTTTTCCTTATAAATAGAGGTCGTATCACCCCGTTTTCAATCATTAACAAGCTTAATCACCAACAATCATCATCTAATACCCTCTCTAATATTCTTTCTCTCTCTTGATTCTTTACGTTCTTAGCCTAGCCTAAACACATCCCAAACACACATCCTTGATACTTTTCCTAATCAAACACCATACCTCTCTCACAAGCTTTGAATACTCCTTGCCAATCTCAAAGTTACCTTCGAACTCGACGTGAAAGGTTGATAGTTCTGAGGGTTTGGTCCCTAATCTATATTTCAATTCTTATTTGATTTATTTATTTGATTTAATTTTTCTTGAAGTTTACTAACGTGTGTATTGTTTTTATAGAAAGAGATACGAGGCGTCAAAGTAAGTAATTCAATTACTTAATTGATAGAAATCATGCTTAGGATATTATATTAATTCCTAGTATAATGTTAGGATGTTGATTTTAATTTCTAGTATCATGTTAGGATGATGTTGATTTTGATTCCTAGTATCATGTTAGGATGTTGATTTTGATTCATAGTATCATGTTAGGATGTTGATTTTGATTCCTAGTATCATGTTTAGGGTATTAATTAATAAGTCTAATATCATGTTGATTTCAGTATCATGTTTAGGATAATGCTTTGATCTTTATTATAAGTGACATGATAGGGTTTGTTATTAATCCGTTTAGTATCATGCCTAGGATCTTACTAATAATGTTTTGATGATGTTTTGATTATGATGATGATTGTTGTGTCAATTATACATTGCTTGGTTATTCATGATTGATTGTTATTGCTTGATCACGCCCCTTCTTGCAAGTTTAAAGGGTATTTGTACTTGAAATCACGCCTAATAAGATAATTGATAATTTGATTTAGGCAAATATGATTTTAATTCAAGTGATTACCAATAATAATAGATTTATTTGTGAATTAATAATCAACCAATATAGATGAAACAAGTTTAGGGCTAATTTGATGAATGTATGTTGATCGGAAAGCGCACATGAATATCATAAGAATTAAGTAGAGGTCGATTTAGGGAGAGTTCAATCTCTTTTAGGTTGGATTCGTACCATCATCCCCGAATATCCAGTCATGGTTCCGGACCATTATGGAGTTAATTAGCGATCTCAGTGATCGTGAATGGGGTGTAACCTTCACACCCGTGAACAGTTTACATGTTCCTAAAACTTGTTGACGACTCTTTTATCTCTAGCTTCCTTCCCTTTGGACGCAA